CTCTCAAAGCCGGTTCAACTCTGGTCAAACCCCCGACAAAATCCCTTAAAAAACGGAACTTTTCTGTAGAAACCTGTCAAATCCCCGTAAAAACAGGTCCAAGTCGTGTCAAATTCCCCTCAGAAACCCGCAGCATCCCCCCCCAAGAAACCAGTCAAATTCCCTAGAAATTTGCACCTTCGCTTGGCCCATGCAAACATGCACCCCCTCTATCTTGGAAACCAGCTCACGCATTTCGACGCCTACTCACTCACTCTAATAAACACAAAACTTCAAGGCAAACTCAAGCACGGTATATACCTCAAAGCCATCCAATAGCGGACTGGCCGAGGCGGGCAACGCGAAGCGTTTACAATAACATCCTAAACAAACCAAACACATCGTAAACAAAATGGTCTCCGAATGGGGCAACACCAAACCAATGTGAACCAGTCATGATTCTGGATCTCCTCTGAACATGTACAATCGCGGGTAGAAAGGGCGAGTCCCCCCAAAGAAACATGGACTGACAAGTTGCTTGTTACAAATGAAGCTCATCCAAGGGTCTAAGCTCCCAAACATCCCCAAACTGGGACACGTGGGGGTGCACGGGGGCGCAGTAGAACGGGTGTGCTTCACATTTGGCATGGGACACGCGGGAACATGGGTTCTGTGCTGACTGCGGGTGTGCTTATCATTCGGGGTACATGGGTTGGGTGCTGAGCGTGCGCAGTCCTAAAAGTGCTGGTTTCAGCTTCTAGGCTACAATGATCGAGTGCCACAAATGACAGCCTTCTTTTAGGCTTTCTCCTCACTGCCATCTATGGCAAATCCCAATGTGGTTTTTCAGCGACCCTGTGGCAATAGGTTGCTCTGGGCTTGCCGACGGCACTGCGCCTAATGATGCAACCACAGACCTCGGATCAGAGAGGCTGCGGCAAGCAGGGCCGGCAGGGTTTTCTTGAAAGTGCACCTTTGTTTGCCTTGAAACAAGAAACCAAATACTCTGACGTTCTCTGACAGAGGACTTCAGCGACTGTTTGACAGTGGAAGATGGCCATTCCGGCTGCTCTCTCTCAATTGAGGCTGACACCGGCTGAGCACACAATACACTAGCTCATGTTGCATTTCAAGGGGGACTGGTTCCAAACAGGGCCAACATTGACTTTGTGCAGTTGAAGATCTACAGAGTCAGCTCTCTCTGAGTGCGTCGCTATGCTGCCCACTAGGAAGAACGCCACAAGCCTCCAGAGTGTACTCGGAACCAAACCTGCCCTAACGCCTGGGGAACTCTTCCGCTGAACGATGCTGCTAGAACAAACACCGGATTGACCTGGGTCCAAACCCCGTTGCCCTGCACAGCGAAGCCCCCAAATCCCAAATCCGACATGTGGGTCTAGGTCGCGGACAGGACCATCTTGTCAACGTTGCCTCTTTCGCCCACTGCGTGCAGGGAGACCTCGCGCTGGAGATCTCTCGAGACTTTCCAGTTGTACAATCTACGCCGCTTTCCAACTTGTAACATGCGTGCAATAAACGGCCTTTGGCGTTGCAACCCCAGCAGCGTGCCTTGGAGACGGTACCGGTCACGTGGCTGACAAGCGTCTCTGCGACTTCGAAGGAGATCGCATTGACCATTCCGGCGCAGCCCTGGCAAATGAGCCAAAGAAAAACATGTCCTGCTCCCAAACCCATGTGTTGCTGCTGGTGACTTGGCACTCATGAAGGCACACGCTGCTCTTGCATGCTGGAACTTCCTGTCTGGGTCAATCTATAGCCTACATTCCCAGCCCAAATCAGTGATTGCCATGGACATCTCCATTTCTAATGGATGGGCTTGGCTCTCCACGTGCCGTGCATGAGCTCGCATTGTCTCGTGACTCTGAGGCGAGCGCTGCTAGAAGAATGCCGGATGCAATCACCAACGGCCTGAAGCGTGCAGGTCTCATTGATCGAGAGACAAGCATAACATGCCGAATAACCAGCGCCAGAAGTCTTCCGCCCGGTGGTTCTGTCTCGTGTGTGTGTGTGTGAGTGGGCAAGACTTGGGAGGAAGTTGTTTGCAAAGCAAACTGAGGGCGGGCCTCCACATCTGATTGCGATACCAGTGCGTAGCGAAAGACGTTGACAAGGCATGGTAGAACTGTTGAGGACAACCCCTGCACCCGCTGGGAGCTTGTGACGTCTAACAACCAAGTAATTGCTGAACCAAAGGAAAAAACAATAGATGTAAACATGACAACTTCATTCCCAATCCGATAACTAGTCGGACAAGTAGCTGACAAATCTGAGAGGGTGGAAGGCCCTCGTGGAGGCCCTAACCGGACTCCGATACTTCAAGAGACGACACCAACCCACGCACATGAATCAGGTATTGACCACGGACAGATTCTGGTCACCACCTACCCTGACCTGACATTTTCGCAGCCCTTCTGCAAGTGTTGCAAGTGCTCATCGGCCAACATATTCCTTACAGCTCCGCCATACATACATCTGCCTAACCTTTAAGTTGGCAAAGGCGTTTTGCAAACGGCTGCGGCAACCCTTGTTATTGCGCTGAGCTCCCCAACATGAAGGGATCTACATCCAGCTTGTAGACCGCAGCGGCATCTGAGAGAAGATGCGGGCCAGTGGGAGTCTTTGAGCAGGTGTGGCAGTGCATTGTGCTTGTTCAAGGCGTATCATGTCTACAATTGTTCAAAGGAATCACATGAGGGGATTTCCAGCTAAGCTTTTCGGCCACTGGGACATCACTTAGTGTCAACCTGGAAGGAATATTTACACATATTGCCCTGGCAACAAAGGAAGCAATCATTGGGTAATCATCCGCTGACAACTGCCATCAAGCGAGACCTTCAGCCGCCAAGGCAAATAGATGACCAAATCATAAGCTCCACGGTCAGTGAGCTGATGTCTATGTTCTGGACAAATCAACCATTGCCCACCAAGCGGTATTCTCATGCGGAAGGTCACATACTGTTCGGGTCAGCCTTACACCTGCGAAGCATCTGCCACTTTGTTGCCCACGCGGGCAAGAGGGGCGCACCTGAAAGGAATCGAACGGGTGGATACCACTGGGCAGCTGGGAGCCCCACCGCCCAGGCGAGTCTTTGCCGCCAACTTCGTAATTTGCCTGGTCAGGGAGTTCCTTCTCCTGGTCGGATCGACTAGCAGCTCACCCCATGGATTATTCAATGGTTCTCTTGAAAGGAATCCCCAGCAAAAAGGGACCCAATGGCGTGAGCACGCCTTTTAGGGGTCAACACTTCGTGGTGAACAATTGCTTGGGGATGCGTCAAAATGGGGTGGACCCTTTAACTTTGCCGCATGCAAAAATGAAACGAACATGACACCACTGAAAAAATCCTCCCTAGTTACCAAATGCAAGAGGCTCACGAAGGGCCCATGCCCCCTAGTCGCCAGTCGTCAAGCCCCTTTTTTGGGATAACTTGTTCGCTGTCGCAAGGGCCTGAATCAACTGCCCGGCACACATGAAAGTCTCATGTGGTCTATCTAGGGCATGTCAAAAGCAACTCACGCTAATTTGCCAAGCTGAGCACGCATGCGGTGACCTGCGGGGATCCAACCTCGGGCGACGCCTTTCCGTTCAGATTCGTTCTTCTGTACACACCCCCAACCTCACACGAACAGGTGTGAAACCTGCCAAGAACACCAAGCTAGTTTCGCCCACTCCACACAGCCATGAATGACTTACCTAACGTTCACAACACGCTAGGACTCGACCCATGGTTGAGTCACGAATCGAACATAGGCTGTCGCCCTTTTGGGACTGCCCGCAAAATAAATCTTTACAATCCGGTCCTTGGTCGGTACAACCCACGTCCCACGGGTCTGTCCCGGAAGCACTCTTCGCAGTATCTTTCGATGCCCGGGATGCAACTTCCGACAGATCATCTGGACTCACCTGCGACGGAACGGAAGACTGAAACGCCTGTCCCAGCCTCAAAAACAGAATGCATTCATAGAACCAGGACCCCAAAAAAGAATAGGTTGGACATATGCGAGCGATGGACATTTGTTTATGCCGCTATGCCCATGATTTGTCAACGCACCTAGCAATGATTTTCACAGAGAAGCCACATGAAACATGCCGGCGCTCTTCAGTGCATCTATTGCTCGCTTCCCGCTTGGCCATATTGGTCGGCGGTGGTTCTTCACACAGAGCGGGTTGGCAACAAAGGTTTGTATTGATTCCACAGGTCTTGCAAGATGTGGGGTTGATATTGGCAGTTTCCAGGATGTGGTCAGCCCACACCTGTTTGCCAGCATGAACATAAATTAAACTCCTCAGAACAAAAGCAGAAGCAAGATTGATGCCACCTGATCCAGCAGTTTCCTCTGTCAAGCAGTCTGGCAATCTAGCAGCTACATATTGACGTTCCTGCAACATGATTCTGATATCGTGCTTCAGTACCAATCAAAAAGCGTGCGCCGTGAAACACGAGCAGCGTTGGCACGGCCGAACGGAAGTTTAGCCCTCCGGGTCCAAGCGAGCTGTGCTAAACCCGAAAATGGCCAAGGCCCCGAAGGCAACAGGTTTTAGGAAAACCAAAAGCTCCCATGTTTGGGGTCTATGATACCCAGCTTCAAGGGAAGACCAATAGAAAGGCGGGCATCCAACCCATCCACTGTTGTGCCTGCGCCATGGCATCGCGGGCACCGCTGCCCGAGCCAAAGACGCTGCCGGTAGGTGGGAACGCAGCACCCATCAAGTCAGTGGCGAAGCAAACAAAGCGAACATACCAAATAAGACCCTGACCACTGATCAAACCACAAGTCTTGACATTGTAATTACACAGCAGAGTCCTGCACATTAAAAATCTATTCCCCTGTCTAATCGAGGCTTTTGCCAAACAAGTGCGTGGGTTCTTGAGGGTACGAGTATCTGGGGATTCATCTTTTTTTCCTGGCCCCCAAATGACCATGGGTATTTTTTGCCATTTCGTGGGACATGACACACATATTTTTCGTGGTTTTGCGCGCATGGTCACCCCCACAGCCTCGAGACCTCCCTGGCCACCTTCTCAATGCCGTCGTCAGCGCTGGCAGGGAACAAAGTCATGGCCATGGGTAGAGTGCTGCATGGGTAGCTTGACACTTTTTTGGGGGCCCCCCAAATGGTGGTTTTCCGTTCGGCTTCCTTTTCTTAGACTAAGCAACAAGGGGCTCCCCCAACAAAGATATTATAGACCCCATATGATCACATTTTTGTGGGATGCATGAACACCCAAGCTGGAGGAGGTGCACGACGCCTACCACAAGCAAGCCCAAGACCAGACCCCTGCAGTTAGCTCCGAGCGTCCTAGATGCACTCAGCACATCGCAAAGACTGTGTTTTCCAGACCATTGCTGTAGAGAAGGAGAAGGAGAAGGAGGAGGAGGAGGAGGAGGAGGAGGAGGATGTGATCAGTGGGAGCAATGAATGGCGGGGTCCCTGAGACAGGAGGAGAAAGAGAAGTGCCGAGCAAAGGGAGAGCCCGCAGCGTTCGCCTATACTGCGGCACCATCACATCGATATTGGTGACAGTCCACAGCAGCAAGAACTCCTGGCCAAACAGATTCGCAGCTTGTGACTTTTGCAACCCCCCAAACGAACAAAGGGCACTGTATGGCCTGCAAAGGGGGAAGACGGGAAAAGCAACAGAACCCGGCAAGCCGGTGAAGCAATCGTTTCCTCCGGAGGTCTGGAGTGCGGCGCAACACCATGGACTTTTGTGTGTTCCAGCCATGGTGTCGGATTCCTGCTTCGGTCCTGGTTGCTTTTTGCGGTTGGTTTCCCAACAAAGGATCAGCCAAGAGGCTTGCAGCAAGCCGCTCTGGTTTTCTCACATGGCTTTCGAACTGAGTTGGGTGTTTGAGGTGTGTGAGATTCGGAGGCCCCAAAGCCTGTGCCCGAGAGGTTTCCGCTCAGCAACCGAAAAGAGGACCGAGAGCACGCTGCACCTTGTAGCTGTCGGCTTTCATTTGCGCAGGACGCAAAGCCTGACAACTGATGCTGACCGATTTTGCCAGGACCTACTCGTCACACAACCCCAAGCTATTAGAAAAAGTACCCAGTACTGTCTGGGATTACCTATTTGTCGGGTAGGCCTGTAGAGCTTATGCAAGCAAAGCCGCCAGAATGCGGGGTCCTTCGATTTCAGCGGTGGGATCAAACACTCAACTAGCTTCCTACCCAGGAAGCTGCATGGAGTTGCCTCTTTCACGACGTAATTAGGGCGTGGGTCAAACAAAAATGCCCGAAATGGCTAGCCCTAAATGGAAATAAGGACTAGACCCGCGGCCCAATTCCCGGCGCCTTGATTTTGCCCCAGAACCCCATTTGATATCCATTTGACTCACTTGGCCAGTGACCAGCCGAAAAAAAGTGTACACTTTTTGGGGGAGAGCCACCTCCAGAAAAAAAAACAGAGAAAAAACGAAAACAAGTGGTGAATGTTGTGTCCACTGGCGTGAGTTGATGCCGAGGCTCCGCGCTGGCTTCGCACACACCGCCAGCTGCCAGAAGGTGTTTTTCCTGGCCGCTGATTTTTCGCATTCACGGAATCCTTATGAATCCGTAGCGATAATGAACCTCCCTGAAACGTGATCCTAATCACTGTAGCGGATCTGAATCAGCTAAACCTGAAAACATAATCCTCATGACAGGAACTTTGACCAGTGAGGTGGCCAATCCCTTTGTTAGGCTTTCGGTATTTTGCGCTGTAACATCGGCAAGGGACAACCAGCTACGCAAGCAACCAGGAAGCTTGGGTCTCCTGGTAGACGGGTCGATGCTCAGAACCTCAGGTCGGAGCTCGCGCATCGAGATACGTACCAACAGCATTGGGGAAGGCACGGGAAGAGATGAGCGGAGAAACCGATCCGCATATCTTAAAGCAAGATGCTCTTTTGCTCCTGTGAACCTCTGGCCAGTTCCAGTTCATGAGCTAAGGAGCCCTGAGGCAGCAAAGACTTGGTTTGGATGGGACCCATCATCTTAGCAACCTTCCTGCAGTTGCCAACACACCGCAGACGCCCTAACTGCAGGCAGGAAGCCAAAGGCTCTGAGAACCCACGAAGAATTGGCGCCTTGCCGAATCCGGACGCAACTGATGCTAACAGCCTTCTCCGGCTTCAAGATTCATCCATCCAAGGGTGGACACCACTACAACAAGGGAAACACAAAGTTGCATTAAGAAGGATTGATTTTCAACCCAGGTTCTTCCGGCTGTTTTTCGGGCCCGAAAATTCGTCGCACAATTCAAGCCTCACTTGCGGCAAAGGCAACCACTGGATTGGATCACCGGAATGCGTCAGACAAGATGGGCAGATTCGACATTTGAACCCAGCTCGAGACGCTCAGCCCAGCTGCATACCACGTTGCCCAAAAGGAGCAAATCCAAATCCCCCTATGTCTTCCTTCGAGCAAACCGAGCATCGCCTCTCGAACCAATAAGGTTGGGTGACGCCTCAAGCCGGAACAAAAAACGGGTTGGGTGACCCGGTTGCAGGTCCCTCCCGAAACACACCCCCTCCCTCGCGCCAGCAAGGGCGCCAGGTCCTTGGCCGAGGCCTTGGTGCCAAAAGCGCCGGACGTTTTCCCCCCAAAAAGCGCTGGGTGGGTGTGGAAGAAATGGGTTTGGGTCAAAAATTTATTTAGCCCATGTTTCCATTTACCGGGGTTCTATTTTGGGTACCTAATTGTGACCCATAGCCAAATGAGAATAAATGAGAAGGATGACCCGTCTTGAATGGTGTTGAAAAAGGGGACAAAAGGACTTCTTTTTGGAATTCAACACTTGTGGGTGTTGAATGGTGTTGAGGGGGAGCCAGACTGGGGAATTCATGACACTCGACTCTGGAGGTTTAGTGAAAGAGAGACCTGCGGGGGGTCGGGGACCCGTGCTTTCTTTCTTGGGACTTGTGCTTTCTGGGAGATTGGGGCTCTTTGTTTTTGTCGACAGCCCAAATGCAACTCTGCCCTCAGGGTTCTTCGAGTCCATTTCATCGCCGACCCGCAGAGTATGAAGCTCTGTGAAAGGGATGTGTTGCGTTTTCTTGGACGAAGGGTTGGGGAAGAGGTTCTCGGTCGTTGCACATAAGTCAAATCAACCTCAGCCAAGATGAAAGTTGCCTTTTCCAAGTTTCACAGGATGTTAATCCGGAACAGGGTTGGGCCAGCCGGCTAAAGCTCGTTGAATTTTCTGTCAACACAACCTGGCTCTCCTTCAAGGAGACCAGGGATGGGTTGCTTAAACAACAACGGCCCAACCCTCAGCATCCGTTCCTTTTGCCCCGACGCAGTCGCTGGGTCTTTGAGGCTGCTGCCTCGCTGGCCACGGTAAAGCAGCCCAAAGGCCTTGGGCGTCCGTGCGGAGTGGGAAGCGAACACTCACACTCGGTCTACTCCAAGGCTGCCTCCAGCAAAATTGGCACTACCACTCTGGTTTCCTGCGCCCATACTCATGCAGAGGCAGAAAGCGATTTTTGGCATGACCTATGCAAACAAAACTGTAGGCCATTGCTGCATATCCACCTGCACGAAAGCAAGGCCAGCACTCCCTTCTGTTTCTTGAGTGCTTCAAGGGTTTCCATTCGAAGGATCTTGCCCAAGACTCCAGTGGGAAAACGGGCGCCTCCTTTTCTGGCTTATCGCATGGACATGCCGAGTGATCACCTGAATGTTATCAATCTCTCTGAACGCTGGGTGTGTCAAAAGGCTACCAGATTTCCATGACCCTTGAAACATGGGGTCCTGAATCTCTCAATTGCCCACAAGAAAAACGTCTCTCCTTTTGAAGGGGACATGGAGACGGGCAGACTTTCAAGGGGACCTCAAGGCCGGAATCGTCCAGGTGACTCCGAAATCCGCTTGGCCCCCCCACTCCAAACCCGCGGGCAGCAGCTTACGCACCGCTTCCGCGTGCTGCCAGGGCGAGAAATGCCCGCAAGTCCCAGGCTGAAATGGCGAAGACGTGTGGGGAATACCCTGGACGTGAATGGATGTCCATCAAAGGCTCAATCAGAAAACATATCCAAATTGGAATGTGTTGAACAGGAGTTCCTTCGGAGGACGGTTTCTAAAGAAAACCAAACGGGACTTACCATTCGGGGTTTGGTAGTTTTAACAAATCGCTGGACGACATCAAACCCGTCTCCCCCATTAAAAAAAAGCTCCGAGAAAGGTCTTTGCACCCCAGTGTTATTTCTCAACTTCTTACTAACTTCCATTGACACCATGGAATGCCCTCACTCTCTCTACTGCATTGACATGATTGTTCCTGGCCCAGTCGAGGGCACACGGGCTGGGAAAGCAAGCAGGGCAAGCTGACAATTACCTCAAGTGATGGCATCTTTGCTTCTGTGGTGGCCCGTCATTGGCAAATCGACTTTGCAAAAGCGTTTCTCATCCATCAAAGTGACACCCTCCTCAAAGTAATTTTGAGAACCCCTCAAAAGGAAGTCACTCTAATGTCCCCAGTCCTAGTTTTGATCCAAAGCTACCCAAAAGAGGTGCCAAGGATGGGAACAAGCCCGTTGCATCACTGCGCCTGTACCGCCCACTCGGCAAAGGCTACACCACCCGTAGATGATCTGAGCAGTGCCGCGGTATCCTCAGCTCGCAAGTTATCAGTCTCTTTTCGGCGAATGCACCTAGCCCTTCAAGCCCTCACAGAGAGCCCCCGGCCAATGTCAAAAGATCACCAATATCCAGTTGCCTGTTAGCGAAATCCCGGATCTTTATGAATCCCTCAAAATCTTTCTCCCCGCCTTGGGAACAGCGGCTGGCTCACCATCCTGCACATGGCACATGTCAAGTTTTTCCCACCTTGAAGTTACGTCCAGGCGCTTCTCCTTTGGCTGTCAAGTGAGTCCAAAGGTTAACCGCTCTGGTACGGTCTCAACTAAGCCGAAGTTGCACACTTGACGTTACCGACTGCTGCACCAACTTGGCAGTGCTTATTGGGTCGTTCCTGCAGGGGGACGTACAAGCAACTGTCATGCTCCCGAATTCCCTGCCGAGCTCCTTCTGACAGTGCTGCGCGCTTGGCTGTGCGGAACGCTGCTAACACTCTGCAAAGGCGTGCTAATAAAGCTCTGCAAACCAAGCCTCAGATTGTCCACAGCTTTCGCAACAGCATCTCCGAATCTGAACGCGTTGGAGGCTGCCCGGCGTAGGTTTGTCTTAACCACAACATGCCGGAAAATCGCCCAGCAGCATTAGTGAGTTGACGCAAGCTTGCACAAGCTGATGCAAAATGGCGCAGGCTACTAGATATGTACATATATACATATATATATAATATATATATATATATATATTATATATATATGATATACGTATGCATGTATATTCTACATACACACCTTGCTACACATTGTTGCGACGTTCCATCTTCAAGTATGTAACCACAGGATGGCATGCTAAAGTAGTGGGTTACATCTGCCCGCATTAATTGTGTGTGTGTTTCTTGCAGAACCCTCTTTCCCTTGGCTCAAAAAGAAACTAAAAGGAACAAGGACCCCAAAAGGAAACCCAGGAACCAAAAGGAAGCCAAAGGAAACCCGCACCGGGCTTCCGATGTTTGCCCAAACTGCTGGGAAACCCATCCGCCCAGCCTCGCCCAGCTGCGCTGGTGTGGGCGCAGCGAAGACCACGTCTCCCAGGCCGCCTTCCACCTGCCCCGACGGCCAATCCCGGCGGCCCGGGAGTTAATTGGTGATCCTGGTAGAAAAAGGGAGCCCGTTTTGGGTTGACCATTTTCTTCCATTTGCTTAAGCCCCCTGGAAAAAAAAAAAACATTAAAAACATATTCCCAGCTGTGATAGATTCCCTATAAAACCAGCAAGGGAAAATAAAACATGCTCTTAAGCAAATGGATGTTTTTAGGGGAGCCCACCAAAGTGAAACAGGGTGCCACTGAGAAACCGTGTTGGCCGTTTTCCAGCGGTCAAACAACTGAGGGGATTCTAGAAAGGACCACCAAAGGAAAACATCCCCTGATGTTGTGGCATTTTTCGGCGGACATGCCAGTGCTGAACACTGGTCGTTTTTTAACCAAGCATTCCAGCGAATGAGACATCTGCCACTTCTGGCCTGCCACTTCTGGCCATCTCAGACAGTTTTCTGCAGTGGTGAACTCTCCCGATTTGGCATTTGTACACATCGGCCTGGGCAAAGCCTCACGGTGTTACACACAGCTAACGACTTGGGAACCAAAATACAAATCCGCTTTGGTCCTTTTAGGGCATGGGTCTCTGAATTTCCCCTCACCCGCAGCTCTCCTCAACCTCTCCTTGCCTGTTGGCCCAGGAGCAGGCCGAAGCGCACCGGCGTGCCGTGCAACCTCAGTACTTAGGCTGTGACTCTCTCTGGAAAGGGCCCTAGGGAATAGCTAAAAGAACAGTCATGCTGGTGCCAAGAGTTTGCAACTCCACCTTCTAAGCTCTGAATTTGACCATGCAAGAGGAGTGGACTAGAGAGCCACTAAGGCAGTAAGCCAGCAATGCCTTTCCAGGAGTGTGGAACCCTCCCGATGTGCTAGGTCTGAAACAAAGGTCAGCACTGACAAGGAATAGACGCAAACTGAAATTCCGAGCCTGATAAGGATTACAAGCAAGACGGAGTGCCAAAGACAAGCCAAACTACCTGTTCAGACAAATGGACTGCGTTGTTGCTACTTCTCTGTTAGATCGGAATATCGGGGTAGTCTGTATGTTTTTTGAATCGGAGCATATGATCGCGTTGAGAGTTGACACATTTCACGCGTCCCTAACTTTAGACTCTCTAAAGACGACCGCTCGAAGGAATGCCTCTTAGGCCAGCGACCGTGATGCGAAGTTGCTGAAGAAGCTGCCATTGAACGTGCCTCCCCGGCGCAAATGCACGGAGAACTTGCTGGATTGGCCCAATGGCAAAAAGCAACTGAGTACCATGCGAGCATGGATGGCAAACCACGGTTCGATGCACTATTAAAAAAGGCGCCCCTGAGAAAAGGAAGGGATAAAGTACACCATGGCCAAGCAGTGCCCATTCAGAGGTCTATGCCCAGGACTGACATTCATCTAATCTAACCTTGTGTGTCTCATAGCATGGTTGAACCATTGTATGTAATATGTGATCAACTAGCCCCTGTTTTGCATAGATGAAAACCTGTGAGACTGCTGAGATCACAGCGAACACCAAGGGGCAACAACAAGACAACAGCAAAGCATCCAACCGAACCAGCAACCCAGCACCACCAATCAGTGCCCAACCACAAGTTCTTGGAGCTTCCCTTCCCTCAGCTGCCACAAACCAACGCATACATACAGGGAAAACTAACACAAACAACACCTCTGCACGAGCCAGGAGCCAGGAGCAACTAGCGTGGGCGCAAGCAAGTCAGCACGAAGCTGGATGCATCGCACACTGCGAACTGAAGCAAGTGAGTGGCAAGGACCACTTTCTCAGTGCCTTTCTTCGCCATGGCGCTGTTCGAGCTAAATCATGCTCTAACTTACCAGGCCAAATTTCGGTTGAAATCTTCTGCTTTCAGCTAGGCTGGCCTTGATGGTTGCTGCATGATGCTGCGAGTTTCTGCAACATTCATCCGAAGTCCACTGACCGCCACAAACATTGGACACAATCATCAAACCATCAAACCCACTTACTTGCCTTGGTACTCTTTCGCTCCGCCATGTGCTTCAACGATTTGCCAACCTAGGAGCATCTAGGCATCCTGTCCTTTACTCCGGAGTCGGAGTAAACCCATAAGGATCCTCGGGTTTGCCTTCCCGTCAGCTTCGAGCCAGGCAGTGTTGCGCCGTTCACGGGGTGCATTTGCCACCATGCGAGATCAAGTTCGTCAGCACCAGGCGACCTGCCAAACACTACAACTACTCTATCCAGTAAAGTATTGGCTCTGTGTACAATCTGCATACCACCCGAGCCATTTACTGTGGATGCCCCGAACACCTTGACTGCACCACCTTGTTCAGGATGAGTCTGCCACGCTGGAAGGTTGCTGATAAACCAGCCACATCCACGGCAAAACAAATCCGCAGCAACTGTACGCATGTATTGTTGAGTCCATTGACAAATTGATGCATGGACATATTCGGATGTGCTTTCTACGGATCTCAAAGCCGTCTGCGGACTTTTGACGGCTGCAACACCAAGAGCCGATCGCTTTGGCCCATTTCGCTCCCGAATAAACAGGCCAGGTGGATGCCATCTCCCAATGAGTCACTTAAGTTCTCGCGTGCGGGGCCCTCTACCCTCCTTCCAACAATCGCAGAAGCTGACAGATGGGTTTTCGAAGACTAGTTTCCTTTTGAGGAAGCCCCGTGTCAACTTCCATGGTTGTTGGAAAGAGGGTGCATGCATCAAACATTAGATTGAGAGGGTCTGATCCAGTGACAACCACTGGCGACCTGACTCTAAACTGGGCCTATGCTAAATGCGAGGCTTGCAAGTCGCTGTACACTGCACGGCCGCAGCTGCTGATTCTGTAATCGATTTGTGGCTGATGCTTCTCTGAGCGCGGCCATGCAATAGGAGAGGACACCACTCACTGAGGTCCTGACAATCGCGGGGAACAGCAAGGAAGCAAAGAAGGGGTATCATTATTCAAAACTAGCATCCTATTAAGGGCACAATTTGGAACAAGTGTATATACATTATCGCACCGCAACTATTGCAATAAGTTATCAACACAATTCTGATGACCATCTCAGTAGGACATGCTAGACGTTTCGGATTCTTTCGATCCAGAGACCAATGGCTTGGGCAGCAAAAGCAACACGACAAATTGAAAGCTGGCAGTGGATCACAATCTATAAATCCACAGCAAGAATGAATGATTCCATGCCCATATTAGAAGCCATCAGGGAGGATACCAATACTGAAGAATCAATCGGCTCAGTCCTTGAAAGACCAAGTGAGGTTCCGTGCATCTGCGCAGTTGAATTATCCTTGGTGTGGCAAAGTAATAATGCAACGTGTCATGCTCGCGCCTTGAAATAGATTGGCATGTTGCAAATAGCCGCAATTTGGGATCGCGAATGCTTTCTCTCGTGTATTTGTCCAAAGTTGCAAGCCAAACAAGCTCTCATGACTGCTTGCGAATGGAGCTTTGAGCAAGGTGTTTTTCCTCCGAACACGTGAATCTGTTGAACACGAGGTCCTGCCAGCTTCCGAGAAATCGCTTGGCTCGCTCTGGGGGGCAGACATGCCCAAGCTCACTCCAGGAGTGGTGGTTCTGCCTCAGTGACTGGAGCTTCAGGGCATTGACCCTGGTAGCAAAATGGAACCTGTTTTGGAGCCACAGTTTAGACTTAAGGAACCCATCAAAAAAATGGGAACCATTGGGCTGGCGCCCTGCAATGGCAAGGAATCCCCGGCCTTGTCCGCATCCGTCGCAACTGACCTGGGCTGACAGTGTATCATGTTCCCTGGCAAATCGTGACTGGGACTGCTGAGGCTAGAGCGAAAGGAACACGCTGTTGTTGAAAGCTGATCCTTCTCTTTCGGCCTGGCAATCAAATCTGCAAGCTGATCCACTATTTGGCCTTGGATGGGTTCAATGTGTTTCAGCATGCCGACTGTCCATGTCTGCACCAATGCCACTGCTCAGGCTGTAAACAACCCGGACACTTACAGCCTATGCATGCAGATAGCTATGACCGTCTCAATCCGGCTGAGGGAAACTGAATGAGACCCAACTGGCGCACCTTCACTGAATCAGTCAGAGTTGCAATCTTAAGGTGAACGAACATCAAGTTGCCCCCCAAATGAGCGACGTTGCTTGAAATTGCCTTGCATCCCAAAAGTGGAACCCAGAAGGTCCACACGGTCACCGGCAAGTTCAAGTCAGCGGGTCCTCTTTGTATTGAAAGGCAAACCTCTGCAAACCCGAAACCTTGGAACCCCTCATGGGCCTCCTTGCTGGCGGGCTTGCTTTTCGCCTGCATATTTGCGGACGGCAAGCAACGGATTTGCTTTACCTTCACATGGGCGGGGCGCTCTTCGCGGGTGCCCCTTTGGGCTTGTCTCAAAGGTATCATTTTGGGGTTCCCGCGTGAGAACTCACATGTCAACTCAAGAAGTAAATCGTTCAGACTTTGAACATGCAACAGTTCCACTTGTCTCAGATCGGTATTAGGTACAGTTGGGAATGACTTCAACAGAACTCGGCTTGCCCATCCCTTTGTTTGAGCCTGCCGCGGTGCCTTCCGCTTGACCTGCCAAGTGACGAACACCCACTAAACGGCGGTTGTTTCAATAAGAGCTGGGAAGGGACGCTCTGTGAACTTTTCAGCCAAGCTAGAAGCTTCTAGAATCTTGCAAGGCATGCCGTGCTCTGTCTCTCTCTCTCTCTCTCGCCCTCCACCCCTCCCAAAAACTTCTCTGTTTTGATGCTAAAGGCACTGCTGAAAACACAAACAAACTCAATCGCCAAGCATGCTGAAACAGCCACATGCCCATCTGAGGCTGACATGGGTTGTCAAGCGACATTCATCCTATCCAATCGCAGTCCCAGTCCATTGCATTCAGTCCCATCCCGTGCCACACTCAACTTGTAGTGGATAGAAATCCCCAACAAAAGTCAGCCATGGAGCAGGTGCTGAGTGTCATGAATCACTTTCCTGAATGTAGAACATGGAGCCATGAAGCAGCCAAAACCAAGTACTTGCGGACTGTTTGTGGGAGGGGACAGAGCGAGCCATCCAAACATCCAACCAACCATCCAAACTAGTCCATCGGAGCCGACCGCTTCTCCGAACCCAGTTATCCAACTTCATAACTTATCCAAACTTCCAAAGCCGACCCCGCCAAGCCCTCCACGTTTTCCCATCCGACAGAACTCCGGACCTCTTCTCCCGGCACGCTGCGACACCTGGGCCCAGAAGGCGGTCCTCACATAGACCCATAGACCCTAAAGCAGGAATACACGCCCAGAAGTCAGAGACGACCAGCTTGCTGAGCAACTCCATCTGATGCCTCTTGTGCACGGCCCTTTTGTCATACAAAGTATGCATAAGAAAACACATACGTAAGAATAATATGCATAACTTATAAGTACAATCTGCTTAAGAGCTGCTGCGGGCACCAGCAAGCATGGCTCTGCCTGTTGGAACCACCTTGAGGTTGTGGAATGGGTTTGGGGAAGAATGGCGGACACCTATTGACTGGACTCCGGGATCCGGGCTCAGCGCAAACCTCTGCGAAGCACAAGAGCTTGTTCCCCGGAAGCCTGGGGCCGAGAGAGCTCGGAAACTCAGGCGGGTGTGTCTGTGTGTGGGCACCCCCCCAAATTGGGTGCTTTTCCCTTTGGTGTCTTCTTAAAACCAGCCAAAAATGGGTTCCCTCAAAAGAAGAACCCCCCAGGTGGGGGGATGCCCTTCACCCAACTGCTAGCTGGAAGTCTCGGACTGCATATCAAACTTGCTTTCAGGGCCTTGCATGTCTCGGCGCGAGAGTTCTTTCACTTATTCGGATTGTACGAGCATCCGTCGCTTGAGCTTTCAATGAGCCCTTGAGCATTTTGGCTAGACCCCGTGTCAATCTGCAACGACGTGAAAGGGGCTCCGCAAAGAAAGCAGCTTCTTGCTTTAAGTCTGGCACACAAAGCCAGCGTCCATAGTTGATGTTGGTAAGAAGCCTCCAGTTTTGTATGGTAATCGAGTGAGTGTATATTGAGTTCATTCCCTTCGCTATGTGAATATTGATTGTTCATCTGAACACATCCCGTGGGACGCTTCGGTGAAACGGCATCCATGGGCCGGCCGCATCCGCCCGTGCCCCGATGGCTCAAGGCGGACACCTGGCACTCGCACGCAACAGTGTCACTTGAGGGGCAATGGAAGCACGCGGCAGAACAGGTACATCAAGACATGCAAGCCCGTGTCCCAAACCTTGCCTGTCAGCACGTCGGAAGCATCAGCGCGGACCTGGCTCAGAACGGCCCAGCGTTCCCTGCATGAGCCGCGGTCAAAATTTGTTCCCCTGCCCCAAGGGACATGTCAGGCCCCTGCTCTCTTTTTTTTTTGTTAAACTTGGTGAGCCCCGTGTCCTCCCAGGACGAGCTTCCAATATCAATTGTGCGGAAGCAAGCGCAAACGGATGGCAACTGATCAGGCTGGCCGCGGATCCAGTCATGACTCAAGATGGCGCAAAGTGCCCATAGTAAAAGTGGCCGTGTCGCAGAACAACTGCACTTTTATAGAACACTGACCGTTGAGGCGGACGAGATCAACGTTTGCCAAAGCGCGCTTTGGCAAACGTTGATCTCGTCCGCCTCAACGGTCAGTGTTCTATAAAAGTGCAGTTGTTCTGCGACACGGCCACTTTTACTATGGGCACTTTGCGCCATCTTGAGTCATGACTGGATCCGCGGCCAGCCTGATCAGTTGCCATCCGTTTGCGCTTGCTTCCGCACAATTGATATTGGAAGCTCGTCCTGGGAGGACACGGGGCTCACCAAGTTTAACAAAAAAAAAAGAGAGCAGGGGCCTGACATGTCCCT